TGGGGGTGGAGGCCTGGTCGAGGACCGGGCCGTGGGGACACTAAATAGCCCCGAAATCATCTCAAGATAACCAAGATAACCACACTGATCACGGCTGTGATCTCTGGCTGATGCCTCGTAATGGACACCTTTAACAAGAGGATTGAAAGCGTTTCAGGGCCACATTCCTTGATATGTTCCACTTAACATTGAATCATTCAGGCTCGTGGCTGTGGTGTGGTTGTGACTGTTGTATTCGCCTAGTTGTGTTTGCGGGGGTTGACCTCTGGCTCTTTGGTCCCGCCTCTCGACTGTCAATCAACTGGTGTACAGATTCCTGAACCTATTGGGCATGTGTGTGTGTGTAGTTGTGTGTGTGGTGCCGGGTACTTGTTCATGGTGGTGTAGGCCTACAATGTGCAATGTCCTTTAGGGGAAATTGCAATTAAACTTTGTCAATAAAGATGTTAGTAATACAGTAAGGTTCTTTGTTATGGTTGTATGAAAGTGTATAGTTTTGACTGGTCGTAGTGATATATATAGTTAATGATTCTCGTGACCTGCTGAATCACCAGCAAACTTTAACTTTGGAAGACTTTCAAAGCCTTTTTTTTTTTTAGTTTCGTGGCGAGTCTTTCATTCTCATTGCAAGACTGACGTGTAAGTCACCCTTTCATCTTGGGAATAACCTTGTCGTGTTTGTTTTGCGAGACAATAAAATATTTTGTATAAGACTTGTAATTTCCATTTTCGATTAGTGTTCCAACTATCATTATCTTATAATGAGTCGTTCGTGGACCCATTGTGCGTGGTAGATTTCGTAATTCCCGAGTTGTGCTTGAAGTGCAGTTTCTCGCTTTTTGCGTCGCAAGATATGACTGGCAAGCAAAGTGTCGCTAGTTATATCTCTTGGTACAAGACTGAGAAAACTGTCGAGACTTGTGGATAATTCTCCTTAATATGGAGCGTCATTAGTGACGTTACAAGGAGTATAAATAATTGGACGTGGAATTATTTCCCCTGGGTCGTTGAGATGGGGGACAGAGCTTTCTTTCTCAGTTGGTGTGAGCGGTGGAGGCAACAGTTGACGTGGGCGGTGGAGGCAACGGTTGACGTGGGCGGTGGAGGCAATAGTGGTCCTGTTTATCTCGGTTCCAAACAATAGTTTTATAGATGAAGTTGTCAGCAGGTAAACCCAGGTCGGACTTTCGGAGTAGAACTCTGTTTCCACAGAGTACAAATTAACTGCAGTTGGTGTGGGTAGTAATAGTAACACAACCCGTTCTCGCACTTGCTTATAGTCGATATTGGCTTATTTAATAAATGCATATGTGACATACTAATTGATTGTAAATATTTTAGTTTACCTTGAAAAGCTTCATAGAAAACACCGACCTCACCTAACCTTCTCAGTATGTTAAGATAAGCATGTTATTGCTTCTTATTTACAATTATTACTTAAGCATCTTATTGCCTCTTAGGTTAAGTAATAATTGTAAATAAGAAGCAATAACATGCTTATCTTAACATACTAAGAAGGTTAGGTAAGGTCGGTGTTTTCTATGAAGCTTTTCAAGGTAAACTAAAATATTCACAATCAATTAGTATGTCACATGCACTTATTAAATAAGCCAATATTGACTATAAGCAAGTGCGAGAACGGGTTGAGTAACGATAGTGAGGGTTCTTGATGTCAGGTGATGAGGGTGGCGGTGAATGTTGGTTGTGGTGGTGGTTCACATTCCTCCAAAAGTCTATCGCAGTAGAACCATTCCTGGTCCAGGTGTCGGTGAAGAGTTGTCCCCACGATGACCAGTGACCTGCAGGGAATGTCTCGGCACGAAACCATCGCCCTCTTAACAAGATCCTGCACGAGGACTGCTGTGATCCCAACCAAGAGACAAGTGTAAAAGTGGTTGCAATTGATAAGTGGTTAAGGGCCTGAGACATGATTCACCAGGTCGAAGGTTACGTAGAATAGTTTGGTGGGGCATGATAAAAGGGGCAGGCAACATGTACTGCTCCCTGATCATGATTCTTCCAATGCTAGCTCCGGACCTCCCGTACTGCTACCTATAAGCTTCATTATTGTTGACCAGACCACACACTAGAAAGTGAAGGGACGACGACGTTTCGGTCCGTCCTGGACCATTCTCAAGTCGATTACGTTCTGGACCATTCCCACAGTCGACTTGAGAATGGTCCAGGACGGACCGAAACGTCGTCGTCCCTTCACTTTCTAGTGTGCGGTCTGGTCAACATATTTCAGCCACGTTATTGTGACTCCTCGTCTGCAGCGTTATTATTATTTATTTATAATAAATATTATATAATTGACATCAGTTACAGTAGAAAAACACAAATTCCAACATATCGGACGTAATACCAAGTCTGGGTACAAAAAAAGCAGAGTATATCGATAAGAAGTATATTGATAACTGAACAAATGAACATTGTTTATACACCAGAGGGCTTTACTGTATTAAAATACACAGGAGCGCTATTATTATTGACCATGAACAAAGAAGGCGGTCATTTGTTCTATGTTTTATGTGCTCAGAAGATATGTCATTTGTTCAATGACATACTGTCACGTTTGACATGTCAACGTATGTCAATTTGGCAATGGACATACGTTGGGAAATCTTAGGGGAACGGGGTGTACCATCAACCAGGCCTAGTCCAGAGACCGGGCTGCCAGGACATTGATCCTCGTAGCCAATCAGGATGAGGCAGCTGAAGAGAGTGTGCGAGTGCCAAGGAGAGGGAGTAATTTTCTGTCAGATTTTCTCCATTTTCATCACGTTTGGCTTACGCAGCTGTGAAGATCCCGTGCAGCTGGCAACAGTAAAACCCACACACACACAATACGGTAAATACTGAGCACCATTAACCTCGTCTTTTAAAACACGCAATATATATATATATATACAACCTTGCCGTGATTTCGGGGCTCAACGTCCCCGCGGTCCGGTCCTCGACCAGGCCTCCTACCTCCCAACTGCTACCAATGTTACAGCTGGACAGGAGAAGTATAAAGTTAGGACTTGACCCCAAAACTGACATTGCAATTGATGTGTAACAAATGAAGGTAGTTAGTAGTAGAAGCAGTAATAGCTCTGAGGCTCTCTCGCGGAACCCAGCTGACTAGTCCATATGGCAGGTGGGGCGCCTATGGTAGTGTTGACGAGACGGGTGTGCATGGAAGCTTGGTGGGAAGGGGGGTGTTAGGAGAGGGTGTGTAGGAGAGGGTGGGGGTGTTGGGGGGGTGGGGGGTGTTGGCCCTGTAGTCCGTGGGATAGAGGTCTGGCACGACACAGGGTGTGTGAGAGAAGTAGAGTATGGCTGTGATGGTAATTATAGTGGCGGGGGCGTGCCTCCGCCCACCCAAGCCACCCATTCACCCGCCCGCCCGCCCACACACACAAGCCTGTACTCGCCTAGTTGTGCTTGCGGGGGTTGAGCTTTCGCTCTTTGGTCCCGCCTCTCAACTGTCAATCAACTGGTGTACAGATTCCTGAGCCTACTGGGCTCTACCCCACCCTGTGGCCCTTCGTCATAAACCGTTGACGTTGAAATGTGTGCACGTGAATAGGCTCCATGCACGCGCGTGCGCACTTCCCCACTGTTGGGAGGCGGGCCAAAGTACCGAAGCTCGACCCCCTCCCCCCCATAAGCATAATTTGAAAAGTACAGTTAGGTGAGAACAAACACCACACATACGCAGACACATGCACACACGATCACCACCTACTAAAATTCTCAAAGGCATTGATAGAGTAGATGTTCCATTCATTTAGCACGGGTGGAACACAAACAAGGGGGACACTGGGATGGAAACAGTACCCAAATGAGCCACAAAGACGTTAGAAATAACAGTTTCATTATTCGGGTAGTTATAACATCTGATATGCATTAGGCAGTGATGTGGTGGAGGCTGACTCCATACACTGTTTCAAATGTAGGATGGGTATGGGGTGCATAATAAATGAACTAAACTAAACCACCCACTGTATTTACATCGTGCGTGTGCTGCTGCAAGGTTATCTTACTCACGCACGGAGTGGCTTCTCTCAGAGTTGCGTGTCTTCAAAATATTCATATACTGTGCGTGTCGTGAGCGTGCGTATGGGTGCATGTGCGTGCGTGCCTTCCACACTTGCAGCTAGTTATCCCAGTGTACAGATCTGGAAGCGGTTCTCTAGTATTTCCCAGGTGTTAAATGTGTGTTTAAAAGTGTTAACATTAATCTCGCTTTGGCCTAAAGTAGAAAAAATTAAGGTAGTTTATTAGCCACTTCCAACAGTTTAGGCCTAAATGACGGCACGGCAGCAATATTTCTCTTAATTGAACGTACTATAGTGTTATTATCTTGGCATCGCTCGTTCCAAATCTTGTATCCTGCTTTATCTTTGAGAAACTATAGACTGGGATTGAACTCCCATTCCGCAGAACCCCCCCCCCCCCCCCCCCCCCCCCCCCAGGCATAAATATTATATCTTCTTTTTCATCTATGCATTCATTAACTAGTGAATAGTATGTAAAAAAAAAATAGTTTTGTCAGCAATAGGAAGCCTGTGTATATATTCTTTAGGCTTGTGTAGAGAGCCTCAGAATGCCACCCACAACAGTGGTCTAAATCTCCGGTACCTATTTGCTGCTAAGTGAGCAGAGGCATTAGGTGCAAAGAAACATGTCCAGCCATTTCTGTCCCGTCGATAAATTTAACCCGGGTTCCCGCCGATAGTAAGTGAAGAACGAAGCCAACTGTACTAAGAGACCCCGTGAAATGTATGTATTGTGTCTTTTTACTTTTTAGTGGGTTCGGTAGGTGTGTGTGTGTGTGTGGGTGGGTGGTGGTGTTATAGTGGTGACTCGAGGCAGCGTGTAGAGGGAACAGCACAATGGTGATGGTGGGTCCTGGAGGCTTGTGACTCACCTGGTTTTGAGGGTCCCCAGGCCCAGCAGGTGTCCCAGGGAGGGCCCCCAGCGGCGACAGGGTTGTTCCGGACGCCTGGCGGGTCCCAACACGCACTACCGTCCCTACCTCCTTCACAACACCACCACGGCCTCTGCAGCACACACGCCGCCTCGCCTTACTGGCTCTTTACCATACGCCTTTCCTCAACACCACTGGTCCCGTAAGTTTTAATGTATTATATATCACATAGCTCTGGCAAAAAGTTCCATTTTCAGCTTCGGCTATAATGTCAACATGTTAATTTTCCCGGATAAAGTTGGACAGGGCGCAAGTGAAGCACGAGCTGCGCGGCGCACGAGGGCAGGGCGGTAGGTCCTCCCGTCACGCCAGCTCGTCCAACACTGCAGTTGCCGCCTCCGCCTCTGGATAACACTTAACTCCACCCACCGTCAAAATGGCCTCGGACCCAGCTACCTTACCTTGCATGACGCCTTGCTTGACCTACGTCCTGGCGCATCTCACAGGCAAACAACGATAACATATAAGGATCTTATTTCACATGCTACAAGAGGCTATTGTAGTAACTTAAATTTCAGTCTAGTAAATTGGCAAGTTGTACACACAATAGTAATTACTAAGATGAATACATAATATTTTTCCTCTTACTCCAGATAATGGCTGCGTGTACACATCTGGAGTTTTGTAACTATTTCTCACTTGACGTTTGTGACGCCCACAATATTTCTGCAGGCTTACTGACCTGGTGTAGCCTGTCTCAAGACACTTGCCGAAGGTTTACAAGAGTGAGCCAGCTGCTGGCTTTGTCTGGGAATCCGTCCAACTGTCCTCTCGATGAGTGTCTGAAAATTAACAGGGAAATTGTTTTCTCGAAATTATGGAACAATTGTTGACAGTCTGTCAGTTGATAGTTATGATGCTAAGCCCCACAATATTGAGTACAGGAGTAGACGACTTCTGACTCCTGTCAGGAGGCCCGTGGCATCTCCGATGATTGAAGACAATTTGGCCGACTTTTTCGTCTGACAGTGACCATTATCGTGAGGCGTGAGACTTTCTTTACACGGACCTCAAGTTTATCAAGGTGTGTGTCGAGGAACTGAAGAGTCCTTGACCTGTATTTATAACCACCATGGTGCACTCCCCCACACGCACAGATTCCTGCAACTCGGTATTCATGACCGAGTTGCAGAACTCCGTCCTCCTAAGGTTTCCCAACGCCAAGAAAACGGTCCATTAAAGTGTCTTCTCCTAACCTACCAGAGGACCCACAACAGAAAACGGGACAGTACCTCACTTTCGCGAGCCGCTTCTATTTTCAAGTACGAAATTTTGTTGCACTGTGTAACGAATACGAGCGAAATGAGACGTTCTTTGTAAGAGGACAGGTTGCCGTGTGGCAGTTGATACGTAGGCTGTGGATATTGTCGACTCTTCCCCCCCCCCCTCCTTCCCTGGCCCCAGCGCTTGGTCTAAATCTCCCACAGTTACTTAGTTACTTTACTCTTCAGAGAATTATTTGTCGTATTCCTTGCACTCGAATCCTAATTCATTTTGTCGGCACTATGTATATAAACTGTGTATTTTATTACATAAAAGTTACTCCTAAGTTTAACTACTGACCCTCCCCAGGATGCAACCCCCACAAGTTGCCTAATTCCTGGGTACATATTTACTGCTAGGTGAACAGGGACATTAGGTGATACGAAATGTGCCCAATCATTTCTGTCCAGCCCGAGAATTGAACCCGAGAACTCCGACTGTAACTAGAGAGCCACGTGTAATGCTACTCGGCTTCCAGAAATTGATTACACTGGGAAACGAGAACTGTTCAAACAAGCGATGCCAAGTCAGTTATATTTGTATTACTATTACACGCATTGATACCTGTTTGATGGGGTTCTGGGAGTTCTTCTACTCCCCAAGCCCGGCCCGAGGCCAGGCTTTAAATGGGATTGGGCAAATTGCTGCCCTAAAGTGTATAATGAGCATCCCCTGACCACATTCGTGTGGCGACTTGTGTATTACAGGGAGGTGATGAGAGACTTCACATTGGCTCCCTGGAGCAGTAGCCAAGACACATGCATCATCATCTGTTGTTCTTCAGCTACATCTTGCTCTGGTTAGGCCCCATTTAGATTATGCAGTTCAGTTTTGGTCGCCGTACTATAGAATGGGTATAAATTCACTTGAACGTGTCCAGCATGGGATGACTAAGTTAATTCCCCAAATTAGAAATCCTTCATATGAAGAAAGATTAACAAAGTTTAAATTGTATTCACTGGAAAGGCAAAGAGTTAGGGGTGACATGATAGAGGTTTACAAGTGGATGAACGGACATAACAAAAAGAGATATTAATAGGGTATTAAAAGTATCAACACAAGACATAACACGAAATAATGGGTATAAATTGGATAAGTTTAGATTTAGGAAAGACTTGGGTAAATACTGGTTCGGTAACAGGGTTGTTGATTTGTGGAACCAATTACCGCGTAACGTGGTGGTGGGGTCCTGCGATTGTTTCAAGCGCGGGTTGGACAAGTATATGAGTGGGATTGGGTGGTTATAGATAGGAGGTGCCTCGTATGGGCCAATAGGCCTTTGCAGTTACCTTTGTTCTTATGTTCTTATCTATACATTCCGCGTGCCATGGCCAGGACTCTCCAAGCCTTTTCGTGTCCACTTAGGAAACCTATACATACTTGTTCGATCGTGGTGGCTTAGTTGACTAAACACTTTACGAGCTGGGAAACTCTGCGAGGTCGTCCTCGACCCGAGGTTGTTATAAACACCTCCGTGGCGCTTCGGAGCTAACGCATGTAAACAAAGCCGCCGTGCTGGAGGATATATGTACAGCTTGCATAGTTACAGGTGGCTTCCTTATCGACTCAAACTCTGCATCCTGGGTCAGACAGAAATGGTTGGGAATGTTTCCGTTCACCTATTGCCTCTGTGCACCTAGCAGCAAATATACCCGGGAGTTAGGCAACTGTTGTGGTGGTTTACGGGCTATTCATGCCCGTGCCACCTTTTGGGTGGCTTAATCTTCATCAGTCATAAACCGTTGTGGGGTTGTATGGGAAGGGTCAGTAGTTTGACCTGTGTAGATAGTGGGGAGGGGTTACCTTGGGGTGATTTAGGGGCTTAGCGACCCCGCGGCTCAGTCGTCGACCAGGCCTCCTCGTTGCTGGACTGGTCAACCAGGCTGTTGAACGCAGCTGCTTTGATACAAGCCGAATGTAATTGACGAGAGAGTGGAGGTGAGTGAGGTGAGTGAGATGGGTGTGAGTATTACCACTAGGTAACTATGATTAACAAACTCAAAGATTTCGGGAATACGTTGTTGTTTGAGATGCAGCTACTCGGAACAAACCCAACATGTAGCACGGAGCCCGTAAGGCTTTGGGAATACGTATATCAGTTAATTTAAGGAATCCGGAGTAAGAGCAGAGGAGTGGGGTGAGGTGACAACAGAGAAGGGGAGTGGGGTGAGGTGACAACAGAGAAGGGGAGTGGGGTGAGGTGACAACAGAGAAGGGGAGTGGGGTGAGGTGACAACAGAGAAGGGGAGTGGGGTGAGGTGACAACAGAGAAGGGGAGTGGGGTGAGGTGACAACAGAGAAGGGGAGTGGGGTGAGGTGACAACAGAGAAGGGGAGTGGGGTGAGGTGACAACAGAGAAGGGGAGTGGGGTGAGGTGACAACAGAGAAGGGGAGTGGGGTGAGGTGACAACAGAGAAGAGGAGTGGGGTGAGGTGACAACAGAGAAGAGGAGTGGGGTGAGGTGACAACAGAGAAGAGGAGTGGGGTGAGGTGACAACAGAGAAGAGGAGTGGGGTGAGGTGACAACAGAGAAGAGGAGTGGGGTGAGGTGACAACAGAGAAGAGGAGTGGGGTGAGGTGACAACAGAGAAGAGGAGTGGGGTGAGGTGACAACAGAGAAGAGGAGTGGGGTGAGGTGACAACAGAGAAGGGGAGTGGGGTGAGGTGACAACAGAGAAGGGGAGTGGGGTGAGGTGACAACAGAGAAGGGGAGTGGGGTGAGGTGACAACAGAGAAGAGGAGTGGGGTGAGGTGACAACAGAGAAGAGGAGTGGGGTGAGGTGACAACAGAGAAGAGGAGTGGGGTGAGGTGACAACAGAGAAGAGGAGTGGGGTGAGGTGACAACAGAGAAGGGGAGTGGGGTGAGGTGACAACAGAGAAGGGGAGTGGGGTGAGGTGACAACAGAGAAGGGGAGTGGGGTGAGGTGACAACAGAGAAGAGGAGTGGGGTGAGGTGACAACAGAGAAGAGGAGTGGGGTGAGGTGACAACAGAGAAGAGGAGTGGGGTGAGGTGACAACAGAGAAGAGGAGTGGGGTGAGGTGACAACAGAGAAGAGGAGTGGGGTGAGGTGACAACAGTGGGGTGAGGTGACAACAGAGGAGTGGGGTGAGGTGACAACAGAGGAGTGGGGTGAGGTGACAACAGAGGAGTGGGGTGAGGTGACAACAGAGGAGTGGGGTGAGGTGACAACAGAGGAGTGGGGTGAGGTGACAACAGAGGAGTGGGGTGAGGTGACAACAGAGGAGTGGGGTGAGGTGACAACAGAGGAGTGGGGTGAGGTGACAACAGAGGAGTGGGGTGAGGTGACAACAGAGGAGTGGGGTGAGGTGACAACAGAGGAGTGGGGTGAGGTGACAACAGAGGAGTGGGGTGAGGTGACAACAGAGGAGTGGGGTGAGGTGACAACAGAGGAGTGGGGTGAGGTGACAACAGAGGAGTGGGGTGAGGTGACAACAGAGAAGAGGAGTGGGGTGAGGTGACAACAGAGAAGAGGAGTGGGGTGAGGTGACAACAGAGAAGAGGAGTGGGGTGAGGTGACAACAGAGAAGAGGAGTGGGGTGAGGTGACAACAGAGAAGAGGAGTGGGGTGAGGTGACAACAGAGAAGAGGAGTGGGGTGAGGTGACAACAGAGAAGAGGAGTGGGGTGAGGTGACAACAGAGAAGAGGAGTGGGGTGAGGTGACAACAGAGAAGGGGAGTGGGGTGAGGTGACAACAGAGAAGAGGAGTGGGGTGAGGTGACAACAGAGAAGGGGAGTGGGGTGAGCGAGGAACGTGACGAGGTGAGCAGACGATGTGTGAACCCAGGGAGGAGGACCCAACACGGGTCGGCAAGCGGCACCACTCTGACATGTACTGATGTACTTGTAAAATACAG